TGTGTGTGTGTGTGTGTGTGTGTGTGTGTGTGTGTGTGTGTGTGTGTGTGTGTGTGTGTGTGTGTGTGTGCGCCCACGTTCCGTCTGCAACGAGAGCATGGAGCTAGGCCTATTCCGACGAGGCCTGCAACAGCTGTTTGGGAGGGAAACACGCTTCCAGAGTTCCAGACGAACATCTTGTCCATCCACCGGCTAATGCACGCTGACGCTTCTGTCAACCAGCTCTGCGCGAAGCTGCACAAGACGGCAGTAACCTGGTCTTCTCTTGGATCATGGTGCCAACGGCAATGCGCCGCCACCATGGTTCCCTGGAGACCATGTGTGTTGATGGAGAGAGATTGGGGTCCGATTTGGCAACCACAGTCGAAACGTTCCTGGGCCTTTGACTTCGCTTCCGCCGCCACCTATGCCTCACGCCACCAGGGAACCTCGATCTGCTGTCTCGTCGCCTTCCGGCTTGCACTTCAGACACCATCTCATCACACGCCTGCCCACCTCCGCAACTCGGGGTCGAAGCGCCGAGCATGGCCGCGTCACCGAAGTCGAGTATCTGTCCATTGTCCTTCGTCCGGCCATCAAACTCGCTGCACTTTTGGAATGCCGCCACCCAAGGAAGGTCTTGCGTGCCCTGTCCTTCCCTGTCCTGCCCTGACTGGCCTTCGAGACGAGGGCATGCATCCGACAGGGCCGTCATCCGCTGCCACGATGTCTTTGATAGTCGCGCGGCTCAGCGTCGTGCGGCTCCGTATCGGACCCTCAGCGGTCGATCGCGGGCCGGCACTACGTTGTCTTCCTCGGGCAGATGCACATGCACATGCAACATGATATTATTAATAATCCACGCACCATCTCGTGGTCCGGATGGGTCAATCCACTCTCTTGCGGTCTCCCCGAGCGGAATGGGGCGCTCGGCAGCGGAACACTTGTCGGACCTGGCAAAACCATTGTTCCGGCGGCCTACCCCGGCCCAAAATCCCAGGCTCCAGTGACGCTGCATCGACGTCGGGTTTGGCATGAACTTCTGGAACACCACACGCCGTATCCGAGTCTGAAACGACTGACGCCCACGTGAGTAGCGTTTCACTCACCTATACCCTCCTGAGCCACTCATGCAATGAAGCCACGCGTCGCACGCATCAAGCCTGACCAGCTGCTGTTCCGCCTCACTGCCAGAAGCCGCACAGTACAGCCAGCATCATCCTTCCTGCGCAACTTTTTCACCTCCACCTCACCCACGGCCCCCCTGCGCTCCGTCAATGAGACCATCGAGCGAAGCGCCCTCTCCCTTTTCCGCTACCAGCGCCCCGCCCTCGCCCGCCGCTTCCGCTCCCTTCGCTTCAAGAGTGACAGGCCCAACGCCCAGTCGCACAACCCCACACCCCACTTAGGTAGCCCAGAGCCAGCTCCTTCTGTATCACAGCGGCTCAAGAAGCTTTCTCGCGAGTATGGCTGGACCGCGCTTGCCGTATACTTGGGCCTGTCCCTCCTCGACTTCCCCCTCTGCTTCTTAGCAGTGCGCCTGCTTGGAACCGATAGAATTGGCCACTATGAGCATGTGCTGAAGGATGCGCTCTGGAGCGTGGTGCGCCTAGCTTTTCCCAACGCGGGTAGAAAGCCAGCCGAAGCAGGTGTAGATGAAGGCGTTGCAGAAGCCACTGACAGAGACGGTTATGTGGAAGCTGGAAGGGCTGCTGGACACAATGGTGGCGCAAACGCTTGTATGCAGAACCCCTCCTTCCATTGTGAACATATGGCCGTGGCTGACAAGAATTGCAGCAATCTGGACCCAACTTGGTCTAGCTTACCTTGTTCACAAGTCTCTAATCTTCTTCCGCGTGCCACTGACTGCCGCCGTACTACCCAAGGTCGTAAAAACCCTGAGGAGCTGGGGATATAATATTGGCACGAGGAAGCCTAGATCCCCACCCGCCTAAATGTCGGAATCGGCCAAGCGTCCACAGTTGCCTGACAACCGCAACGTCGACAAGGGGCTCTATGAGAGTCCTACTTGTAACACTTAATGTATTCACGACTCTGTAACAACACACATACACGTATACACATGTAGGATATGCATATAAGACAAGCACCCTTTCTATGTTCTGCTTCATGCGCACCTACCGACACGGTGGTCTTTGTCTTCGATCTCACTCTTGGTACTCGAAGCCCGATGCTGCACTCCCATGAACCCAAGCGTACAAGCGAGAGCGTTTCATTGTTGCACCACTGCTCGCCAAAGCCTGTTAGCTTACTTAGGCAACCAGCAGAAGCCGCCCCCACATCCTCATCAGGAAACCTAACAAGCCGCCCTTTAGCTGAAGCATTTGTCAGGAGATATACTCATCGGTAGATCTGGGCGGCATGGCAAGCTCGCAAAGCTAAGCCAGTATTCCAGTGGGCAACCGAGAGGGCCACAGCCCTAGTTGCCATGCATGACATACATGTGCCGATCGTAGCTAAACCTTATCTCAATCATAAATAACACCAATTACATTGTGAGGTGGTGCCGGAGATGCTGGTGGTGGGTTACCGAAGCTAACCCTGTGAATCGGAAGCCGGCGCATACGAATGAACATTGTTTAGCTGTAAGCTTACCCGAGCTGCGGTGTCACATCCCGCAAACCTTACCCAAGTGTGCGGAACTACTGTGACAAGGTTCATGCTCGTCCCATCAAGGTCTCACCCCGTTCGTCTTCGTGTATATCGGCCCTTTTCATGTCGAAACCCTCCTGGTTCTTGGTTGCCTCCTGGCACTTTGAAAGCAGCCGCTTACCCTGTTAGTACCCTACGCCGTTCCCACCGATCAGAAACAAGCACTTTGGTCCCGGACCAAATGTTTGTGAAACTTTGCCGCACTTGTCATCCATAAACTATATTCTTGCCAAAGTAAAATGCTATTTTGTCTCCTCGAGAATCCGATACCGTAATCACCCGACCTGGTGTAGGACAAACTTTACCCCGTGTTGTTGTATACGCGTCGCCCATGTTTTGGCAGCGCCATCGTTCGACGTTGGGCAAGGCGGTCAGCGCTCAAGCTACTACTTGGATTAGGCCCAGACGGTTCTTCTCCGAGCGCTTATTTACCATCGCCTTGACGGGCCTGATGGCAAGTCCCCAATGCTACTATAGGGCATTGCGGCAACACGCACCCGATGAAACACCAACAATCGTCCCGTTTCTCTTCCTAAATGTGGATGGACGGGGCCTTGCTCTGTGCCGTTAAATATCGAATCATGCGGTTTAATCGGTCAACTTGCATTTGCGGATCAACCATCGGTGACACATCCAAGGCAATATTTTGCGCCTCGTTTTTGTACAGCACATGGCCAAAGCAAATACCTAGATTGGCAAGGTTTCAGAGAACAAAAAAGACCCCATGTCGCAGAACGAGATGAAAAATTTCGAGACAGATTTCAGTTGTCATAATTTTCAAGTCTCAGATTCCTTGCACTGATTAACCGATCGGGACACGCAGGGTGGAATTCGTGCATGAAGGGTCCTGGATCTACCCATCCAGGTTGGAATTTGCACCGAGACGCACATGATGAAGTCACTATGCAATTCTAGCAAAAGATGCGCCGTCTGAGGATATCACGCAACATCCGAGCTCTCCCGCTCACCCGCTGACCCGATGCTTCGCATGGTGCATGATAACGGGACCGTGGTTCGGAAACCCCGTATTATGACACGGGTGCATGGACTTGATGGTCGCAGTATCAGCATCATCACTATCACATTACGGGCACACCCTCAGGCACTGTTCATAGTGCGACTAATTGCTACAATTGGTTCCCCACAATAGTTATCACAGAAGCCACATCTTGGCAATGCAATATGTCTTCAAGCCAATCCATAGGACATGTCTGACCCAGTCAACAGAACTATATCCTCAGTCACAATTATGTATGGACGCAATGAGACCTGAGTAGCCATTTAAGACAAGGCAGCCAGGTCAATTAAACGTCCACGACGTCGTTCTTGGAACATTCTTAGAGGGCTTATATCGAAGGTGGTACTGTTCGACCAAGCGTGACAAATTGGTTCCTGAATCTGCATGTACGTGGTACGGCTGCGATCGAGATGAGGTCGCCGTGCGTTCATCAGTGAAGGGGAAAGAGTTTGATTGGAGCGGGCGCGTTTGAGGGACTGGACAGCATAACTCAAATTTACCTCGTCCACGTATGCGAATGAGACTGCGATGGACAGCAGACTTGTCTACTAACTGTGCTCTCAATCTGTGAGAGTATAATCGATGTAAACATGGATATCGATGTGAAGACACTCGTTGAAGTGCAGTTGTCGCGTTGCGAATAGAGGTAGAAGGATGCTGGAGGTAACGACAGAAAGTTTTCCAACTGAATTCCGCGATGCACGGTTGCACGTGCCGGCGCTAATCCCCATCCGGTACCCTTGCAACTGCCCCCTCAACCACCCTATCCGCAACCAACTCTCACACTCAATCCCAACATCCCTAGCCATGTCGGCTTTCGCCTGTGAACCCACACAGGAGGTTTCTCATTGATATTGTCAATTATGTCCTGTCTCCATCCGGAAATTCAACCGCGAAACGGCATATCATGCCCCGATTCCCCTTGCGCATCTTCCGCCTCCCCTACACCCGCGCAGCACGCCGGCGACGCATGTACACAATGATTACCGCTATATGCGTGGTAATTACATTTATATTGCCATTCTATGTCATTTACAAGCCCCCAAATCTTCTGATCCGCTATTTTCAACAAAAGTGGCCAGATGTGTTATGGCACGTGCCTGCTTCTACTCTGCAACGAAATGGGGAAGATATGGATAAAGTCGTTGCCCTGACGATCGATGATGCCCCTTCAGAATTTACTTTGGACATTCTCAAAGTATTGGGAGAGAATGAAGCAAAAGCAACATTGTTCGTCATCGGGGGCCAAGTTGGTGGACGAGAGACCATCCTCCAACACGCAGCAAAAGCAGGGATGGAATTGGGAAATCATGCCATGCATGACGAGCCATCTCGCTCCTTGACGCCAGCAGTTCTCGAGTCAGAAGTTCGACAAGTAGAAGGATTTATCAACGGGACCTATGATGCTGTCAATCTGCCACATCCACCACGATATTTTCGACCTGGATCAGGCTTCTTCAGCACAAGGATGCGCAGACAGATTAAAGAAATGGGTTATCAGATGGTTCTGGGTAGTGTTTATCCCCATGATCCGCAGATTGCTTACCCGAGTGTGAACGCACGGCATATCCTGAGCATGGTGCGGCCTGGAAGTATCATCATATGTCACGATCGGCGAGAATGGACGGTTGTGATGTTGAGAAAAGTGCTCCCAGAGCTAAAGAGAAGAGGCTATAGAATTACGACAGTCTCTGAGCTACTAGAGGCAGCAGGAAGAAACAAAGCGACTTGATGCATTCAATAAGACGTTGCAGCAATAGAAGATTAGCGTTAGATATAGCGGTTTACGTGTTCGATGTGAACACCTCGATAGCGGCTAGAAAATAATGAGATTTGTAGCTATGTATCTCTGCGGGAAGAGTTCCCGTGCTCAAACAAGCCTCCTATTGCATGCATTGACGCTCAAGGCAATGCAGGGCCACGGCGTCACGGATACGAGTAGAAAAATCGAGGTATGTCTATCACGATTCCGCTACAATGGAACGAGTCGAGCAGTGCTGACACCCCACGTTTTGGAACCGACACAACGATATCCGATTCCAGTAACTCCTGGTAGTGACTGGCTTCATCCGTGAGTTGGCTTGATCCAAGGCGCTACTTTATTTTCAAGATCAATTATTCTTCAAGTTCTAGGGATCTATCAAGCGGATAACAGGAACACGATGCGAATTGGACTGTTGCATTGAACAACATAATTCGAAGAAGTTGTTCGGTGACGAGACTAGGCATCTTCGTTGCTACACAAATGCACTATCTCGATTGAGTTAGAAATTGTTAGTGCAGTAATCCACGGGGGATGTTGCCTTGTCGGCACGTGAGCGCGGGACTAGCGCGATCGCGTTCCTTCCTCCTCCAAGTTCACGGTGCGGCGCGTCATCCTTAACCGCTAGGCTTCAACCTCACCAGAGCGGCGACTGATGATTGCCACACCTTGACAACTCCAAAAATGCCCGCGTAAGTAGATGTTGAATCTGCACGATTGTTCTTGCCTCAGTGTGCATTTAGTAAACGGGAATTAATACAACTGCAGGCCAGGCGACCAGTACAGTGGCGGCAACGTCAAGAACCCATTCGAAGAGCGCGTCAACAACAACTTTACAGCATCAGAGATTGCCACACTGCAAAGCAAACTAAACAAGCAACTTGGCCCCGAATATATATCGCAACGACCCGGTAATGGTGGTGGCAGAGTGGCGTACTTGGAGGGGAACAAAGCTATAGCGCTTGCGAACGAGGTCTTTGGATTCAATGGCTGGTCAAGCTCTCTAGGACAGGTGCAGATTGACTATGTACGGCTCACCATGCCCAGTGGCAAAACACAGGCTAATGAGGACAGGTCGACGAGCACCAGAATGGCAAGGTGAGCCTCGGGCTCTCAATAGTCGTGAGGATTACGCTCAAGGATGGCACATACCATGAGGTCTGTATAACTGCTCACAGTCTCCCGGTTCATGCTGACATGGTCCCAGGATGTTGGCTACGGATCAATCGAGAATGGCAAAGGCAAAGCCGCATCGTTCGAAAAGGCAAAGAAAGAGGCCGCAACAGATGGCCTGAAGCGCTCTTTACGCACATTTGGCAACGTTCTCGGCAACTGTCTGTACGATAAGGAATACCTCAAAAAAGTCCAGGCCATGAAAGTCAAGCCCATTAAGTTTCAAGAGGAAAACCTTTATCGCCATGTCGACTTTGCACCGCGACTACCTCAACCCGAGCCACAAGCCATAGTCAAACAAGAAGCCCTAATAACACCCGCCAGGCCTGACCAGCTTCTTCGAACACGTACCGATCAATTGAATAATGAGTCTTTTGGAGCCGACTTTGATGACGAAACCGACGAGAATTTATTTGATGGAGTTGATGTTTCTGAGGGGCATGGAGATGAGTTCTCCTTCTCAGAAGGTCTCTCTGCTTCCGAAACCACAGCACCACGCACAGCCGAGTCAGCGAAATTAAAAGCGACATCGTCTGGACGAACATCTCCGGTCAGAAATACAGGGCCTCCTCGACAGCCCAATGGTAGGCCGATACAAGCAGGTCGCGGTCAACCAGTAGTGCAACAGCAACAGAATCCATCCAACCAAGGGCCAGGAAGGCCTTTACCGCAAATACAAAACGGTCGACAACCTCAGACACCAATTCAGCAGCAACCACGCCCAGTGCAAAATAACGGACGTATGCCTCCACCAGCTGCAGAAAATGGAGCTGCATCAAGGCCTGTTGGACAACAAAACCAACAAGCTCCCAATAACCAGCCCCCACGACCCAACCCTTCACAAGCACAACAGCCGCCTAACCAACAACGCCAAGGACCTCAGGCCCAACCCACAACAACGCCAGCAACGAACGCAACGGCCTCAAACCAACGACCAACTGTCGGATTCGTTACCTCCCGCGCTGCTGAGCTCCTCCAATCATCCGAAACAACCACACTAAACAATCTCCCACAATTTAACCCTAACGCAGAATCTCCTATTCCAAAGGAGAAACGAACTCCCGGCATCGACCACGCACGCAGTGTACCCATCAAACGTGAAGCCGTCGGCGCTCCCCCCGCCCCTCAACCTCCACCCCAACGACCTGGTGCCTCATCAACCGGCTCTTTCAACCGTCCAAACATAGTGAACCCGCATCTTGACAGCAACCGACGAATCGGCATGCCCGGTGCGCCCAACTACGCCATGAGTCCTAGTGCGAACCGTGGTGCTTACAAGCCCCCCACATTTGCTAACGGGAATGGCATCAAGAGGGAGAGGGCAGCATTACAGGACGTTAGCAATGTGGGTGTAAACGGTCAAACGGCTTCTGTGGAGGGACCAGACGCAAAGAAGCAAAAGGTTGATGCGCCACCGGGTGCTGAGAACAACGCTGGTGTTGCTAGCACATAGATGGTATGAAGTTTGTGATTTGAGGCGGCCGAAGTGCATTTATAACATTTTATTATTATTCGGTCATGATGAGCGAGGTGTTTTTGGGTGTGTGCTACAGATGGGGTCACGGCGTTTTTTTTGGGGGGGGGAGGAAACTAGATACCGTAACGGTTACGTATGAAGTATGCAGTACAATTTAAGAGCCTCACGGCGTTGTGCTTGAAGTTTGAGAAACCATGGGCAGATTTTTGTTTGCTCGGGACTATTACTTGACCATCCCACGGTCAACTTTGCGTTTAGCGATTGGGCGCGTTCCAAGACAGAGACATGAATCACATGGCCATTTTCAAAAAAAACGTCATTGAATAAACAATCGATCTCCCAATTCTCTTTTTTCTCGTGTTTGCTCGTGGATGAAAAGACGTCCCTTCCCACCTTTTCTTCACAAAATCCTGCTCTCTATACAAAACTCCTAGGTCTTTGTATAGACTTTTTTCATGTGGATATTGCCAAGTCGTCGTTTATTTATTTTTTTGCTTGGGATAACCGGTTCGGGCAGGTTGGGGGAAGGGGGGGGTCTGCCATTTTGTTCTCATATGATTGATTTGATACAATATGTAGCAAATAGAGATAGAGAAAAAAAATAAGTTATACGAGTTCCCATGTAAAGTAGTAATTTTTTTTCTAGACATTTCACAAGTGGTTGAACATTCCATGGTAGAGTCAGGGATGGGGGTGTAAGGAGAGTGGAAGTAAACCATATTCGTTAAGCCAATGATATTTTTCACATTTCCAGAAAAAAAAAGTGAAGAGCGCTAATGCCTGAAGAAAACCAAAAAAAAAAACACTACTAAAGGACCCAAACTACCAAGATCTCTAAAAGCATGTAGAGAGTCAACATGAACGAAGAGAGAGACATATAATGGAAGATCAGAATCCCCTACTATTGCCTCCTCCGCCCAAGACTGTCACTTGGTGCACTTCCATTCCCACCACCACCACCACTACTACTACCGTTGCTCTCGCCATAATACATGTCAACGTTCATTCTTCAGAAAGGGGAATTATGTCAGCGCTAGAAATCGCAAAGACCCCGGGGAGATACGAAGCAAGTGAAACTAAGAGGGAGAGAGGATGACCCCTAGATATCTAGAGATTACCTCTTCTTGCTTCCTGGACGTGGTTTGCATTCATCTCCGAGAATAGGGTGAAGCTTGATCTTGATGGGGTACTGCTGATTGTTTCCTCCGTAGCCCTTGCTCCAGTCATAGCTGACTGCGTATGCGAAAATGTTTCCGTCTTTGCTGAAGCTCGTTGCGACGATGCTGCCACCGACTTCAGGGTAGCCCTTGAGGCGGTGCTTTGCGTCCTTGTCCCAGAAATGGAAGGTGCCATCGGAACCGGCGGTGGAGAAAGTGCCGTGTTGTGGGTGGAAGGAAATGGCGTTTACAGAAAAGACCTTTGCGGTTTCACGAGCGTTGGGGTCGGGTTGGCGGTGGCACTTGAAAGAAAAGTTGAGGCTGCAAGGGTGTTAGATGGGCTCTCTGATCCATAGAGTTTGGAGAGTATAAAGTGCTTACCTGGTATCCTTGTCCTCGACGTATTGGATGGCGCAACGGCCCTCAATGGAGCCAACAGCGAAGCCGGTGGCATCTGTGAAACAGCTAACCACTCTTGTCTGCCACTTGAGTGGACTAGTGATAGTTTTGTAAATGGTCGTGGGGTTAGTCAAGTTGACCATGTGGATGTGGCGCTCTGCTGTCGCAATGACGAGCAATTGATCTTTGACGTCCATGCTGTAGACACGCTCCTGACATTGCAGAGTGCCGACGGGTTCGGCGCCCTGTAGATCCCAAAACTTGACCGTCTTATCCCATGAGCCAGTCGCAACATAGTCCTTACCGCCAGTCTGGAACCAGCGTACGCACTTGATGGCGTTCTCGTGAGCTTTTGCTTGCTGGGCGGGGACAGTACCGCTGGCCGGGGCAGTACGGAAGTCAACAATATTGAGCATGCCTGTTGAGTCGCCGGCTGCTATGCGTGTGCCATCCTACATCATGTTAGCACCCTGTTCCATACCATGGCGTTGCTTTCGTAGACGCACCTTTGACCAACCCACACCAAGAACATGGCCCTGGCACTCAAACATCCACTTTCCCATTGCGCCGTTGCCGTTGACTTCGTAGATGTAGACCTTCTTGTCCCAGCTTCCTACCGCGAGAAAGTCGTTGGTTGGCGAGAACTGGAGGTCGGATATGCTGTCGCTGGGTACTTGGCCGGCTGGCACCTCGACATCTTTGCTTGTGTCTCCCGTTGTGGAGCTGGTCGCAGCAGGCGCCGCGGCTTGACCGAAAAGCGCCATGTCTTGTGGCTATGTGTGGTTTGTTGCGCACGTCAAGATGTCGTGATGTCTTGTTGTGGAGCTTTGCGCAAGCTGCAATAGTGGGTCTCGCGGCGGTGGAGTGATGGAGATATTCGGACGCGCTCGACAGACAAAGGTTGAGGCGCGACGGGATACTTGGAAGCTGAAGGAAGTGATTGGAACTGCAGCGCAACCGAATCTTATGTTCTTGACCACCAACGCGCCCCAGTAAAGAAAGAGCGGCTGTACCAAAGCTTCCCAGGCACCCTTGCAAGGCACCAGTCCGCCTTCTGCCTAGTGTGCCTAGCGCCCGGCGTTACGATTCCCCGATTCCACCTAAAAACTCGACGCACCATGCCAACTTTCTCTTCCCAACGTTCCTCGCTCGAAGAATCGCAACGAAGCACACGCACAGAGCGCACTTGCGGCGTCTCTTCCCTCGAATGCTTTGGGAGAAAGTCCCCGGACATCGATCTTCGCGATCGCACTTTTAGCAACGAACCGCCATAGAAGCTGCGGCTTCCATCACCGACTACGGCACTTCTCCGCTTCTCTTCATCGCTTTTACTCGAATTCCACTAGCTCGCCCGACGCTGCGAGTGGAGGGGCTGGCACCTGGATGATGACATGAGTCCGTTGGTTACCTTGCTTGCATGCCGAGGGTCGCAACAGAGAATCGAGGAGTTGGGAGACGATGGAGAGTGCCAAGGTATGGAGGGTCTTCTCGTCGAGTTTATGGTAATGCGATTGCCTTTCCTGCGCTTTGGTAAAACAAAGTCGGCTGGAGGGTAACTCAATGGGGCTTATTCTCGAGGCGAGGAACGTTCACCTCAAACATTTTTCGGATCTGAGGATAGCCGTCCTTTCACCTTTGGAGGTGACGGGCTATACCGTGCTTGGTCGAACAAGCCGGATTCATCCAGCCAGACAAGGTTCACATGATGAGAAACATTAGAAATAGAGTCAAGCTCTGAGGCTGTCTGAATCCCAAAGTGGTAGGACGGCCTTTGCTGAATTTTCTACGACGGTATCTGAAGAACCTTGCGGCTTAAATAGCTTCTTTTTTTTCTTGAATAAAAGCAAAGTTTGCTCATGAAAAGTTTGTGTCCATAGTTGCCGGAGTGGTATCATGCATCGGCTAAAACTGTTGGTATCTGTATTGAGTGTTTGCTATACAGAGCTCATGCGTCAGCACCGACAATGAAGTCCCGGACCTCTTTGTAGGCCTTGTCCAAGTCCTCGTTGATGACAATCTTGTCATGTGGCGCTTCTTCGCTGTGTGCAAAATCCAACTCAACCTTTGCCTGATTTAATCTCTTTACAATGGCCTCTTCCTTGTCAGTGGCCCGACTCCTCAGTCGCTGCTCCAGGACCTCCATAGACGGTGGCTGGAGAAATAGAAATCGCGGACGGGGAAATGTGGGATGGTTTGCGACTTGCTTGACACCCTAGAGACCTGTTAGTTGTGCCTGTGCTTGAAGTTGGTCATGTTGTTGCGCACCTCCATCTCGATGTCCAGAATGCAAATCTGACCCTTCTCTGCAATATCGTTGACAGCCTTGATGCTCGTTCCGTAGTAGTTGCCTCCAAACTGCGCATGCTCTACAAATCCCTTCTTTTCAATTAGGTCGAGGAACTCTTCCTTGGTCACGAAGTAGTACTCCTTGCCATTCTGCTCGGTTCCCCGGGGTGCGCGCGTGGTGTGGGATATGCTGAAGCCAAACTTTCCAGGAAACTCTTCGAAGAGACGCGAGAGGATGGTGGATTTTCCAGCGCCGGACGGGCCACTGATTACAATGGGCTGGTTCGCTGAGAGGGCGTCTTTAGAGACGGGGGCAGTGTCGGTGGGAGCCATCGTGAAGGCGCGGTGGGTGAAGGTGCGCGAGGAAACGGGTTTGCAGGTGGTTCGGAGGTATGCGGTGCTGAATCTTGGTAGCGGAGAACGAGTTACTCGTGCAATACAACTTCTCGAATCAGTCAGTAGGCTTTGCGATAGCCAGGAAAGTGTCAATGGCATGCCTATCGTGAGCTGGGACAATGCGGGGTGTTGATTGGCGGTGAAGCTAGGGGGTCTTCGGTGTTTGGTGGGGCGCTCCAAGTGGGATGATGGGCGGGACCTGTGACATCGCGTTTTCGTGTAGTTACTGACCTCATTGACCTGGAAATTTGCCAACCCTTGCATCGCCTTGTCCATGTTTCGCTAATTGTTTGTGCATGGGAGCGGTAGAGCTACCACGCCTTCGAAATGGTGCGCAATACATATTTCCATCTGGATCTTGTCCTGACAGCTTGTAGTCGAAACAATACCTTACCCTCCATACGGTCGAGTCGGCCCATCCCAAAGCGAGCGACATCTTCGCTGTAGCGCCGACCAGTACACAGTTACTCTCAGCTTCTGGTGCGAGCAGCATCAATGTTTACGACACCACAAAACCCGACTTTCCAGTTATACAAACACTTGACAAGGCACACCCGCTCGGCATACACCACCTGGTGACTGCGCGCGAAGAGAAGGCACGACGGGCTGCGAGTGCTGGTTTCGAGGGCAAGGTCAAAATATGGAGCCAGAGTGAAGACGGAGTGTGGAGTGAGGATGGAGAGATTGTTGGTGGGTACGCCTTGCGCTTTCTTTGCCACTGCAATTGGATCGTTCATGTCGCCGGGACGGGTGCTGACTTGTGTCACAGATCAGAACAAACCGGGTGAGGTATGGGCGATTGCAATGAGCGCAGATGGGCAGTACCTTGCTAGCAGTAGTATCAACGGCAAGATAAATGTCTGGAGCTTGAACAAGGACGAGGGTATGCCCCGCATACGCGAGTATGAGACCAAAGGCAGCTTTGGTTTGTGCGTAGACTTGGTATGCTTTGGCTGTCTTTCTTATACTGCTTGAGTCGTTACTAACAAGTAAAAAGAGCCGCGACGGCAGCTTCACAGCCTCGGGACATGAGAATGGCTCGATATACGTTTTCAATAACGACACTGGGCGTCTTGCGCACTCTCTAGCAGGTCTCGTACACCCAATTCGCAGTGTGGCCTTCTCCCCAACTTCAAAGCTCCTAGCAGCAGGAGGCGATGCCAGAATCATCGCAATTTATAATGTCTCTTCGGGTGAGCAGGTAGCGAACCTCACAGGCCATGGTGGCTGGGTACTCAGTCTCGACTGGAGCGACACCGGCGAGTATTTGCTGTCAGGGTAAGATGCGACTATGGATTCGCAAATGCAATTGTTAACCTCGTCTCTAGATCTCACGACTCAAAAGCAAAGGTATGGCGGTTTGAGACTAAGACGTGCGTCGCAACTCACTCGCACGGCGACAAGCCTCTTTGGAGTGCGAAGTGGTTACCCAAGGTTCCTACAAAGAGCGAGATGTTTGCACTGGCGGGAGGAAACAACACCATTGGAATATACCGAGAGGCTGCTGGCTGATTAACGGCTTGCCTGAGACCTATTGTGCTATACTGCATAATGTATGACGGCGTTTGAGCTGACAACGCTCGCTGAACCCACAACACACTGCTGCCTTGTAAAGGGTCAATCATCAAGCTGATGGTGGCAAGGGGTGTAAAGTGAACATGGTAGAAACATTCGCCATGCAGTTGCGATTCGACAAACCTAGGTAATCATCATATGATGTGCTCTTACCTCAGATCAATTGATAACACAAATTCATACAATCTGCGTCACGCTGATCATACAATAGTACGTGATATATCTACGCAACTGTCATGATCCGCATGCTTCCGTTTCTACTTTATGAGCATTGAGCATTGAGGGTTAGGAAAAAAGATAATTGGCACTCCCAGTCAGACTCTAGAGTTACTATCAAGTGGATGGTGTTGTCGGAAGAGCGGCAGGAACGAATAACACGGCTGTCTAGCTATGGCCTGACACTCACATGAATTATTGTTTGTACAAAGCAGTTGCGGTCCAAATGGCAGGTACAATTGGCCTTTCGTGTTGGTATTACCTCTACTGCCGTTCCTCACTTTTACTTACCCCCGAAGACAACAACAGAGACACAGCACTACCATCACTATTGCTACACTATCACAATGCGGATTGTCAAAATCCCTTATTCCCTCGTTGCAGCCGACGTTGCGGCCGAAAATGCCGCTGCGAAAGGCATCAACGACTCTTCCGATTCATCCTCCAGCACCCGACGCTTCGGAGCCGCCCACCACTGTGTTTCAGATATCCTACCCGTCGTTCCCGAAAATCCGCCGTTCTTTGCACACTGCGACCCACCGTGGACATCATATAGCTATACGCTATGGCACAGGCTAATAGCCAAATCCCAAGGTCTACAGGGGGGCGAATACCACGAGGTCGTCATCCCTGGATTTCTTTACGAAGATATGATGAGATGCTACAGTGCATGGATAACCACTGGCCGCATCCGCAAGGGTGTACTTGAGGAAATGCTCGAGACTTTGAAATCCACAAAAGCAGGCCAAGAACTTGTTTCACTTCTGGATGGCGAGCGGAAATGGTTCATCAGGCTGGATCATATGTCGCCAAAAGACAGTCCCATGGAAGGTGGATTGCCATCATTGACGGTGCAAGATGTTATGACGAAGCTCTGTACGTCCATGCGCGCGTATACTTGCCTTCAACGTGAGAAGGTGGACGCAGTGAAGGAGGATCGGGAGATGAAGATCAAACTCGTGCTCAACAGATGGGATGGAGGAATGGATCCTGGGAGGGAGTTTAGGGTCTTTGTTTCACCACCTGCCGCAGCCCAGGCAAGAACAACAAATCACCCCATGGCCGCTCCCAGACCGGACGACTTCAGAATCAGCGCCATTAGCCAGTACAGATGGACCTTGGTGTTGGCGGTGCCAAGGGGTGTCACCCTGGAAGAGATGGTAGCAAAGGTCGAGGCGGGAGCGAATGCAGTTCTCCAAGATATCGTTACGTACATGAAGGAGAAGCTAACGGAGCATGTGGTTGATATGTTACTGAAGCACGGGTTCAGTTTTGATGTGGCGCTAAAGCCGGACGGCACTGTTCAACTCGTCGAGATCAATCCTTTCGGGGCGTTGTCGCCGTGTGGAGCCTGTCTTTTCAACTGGATACGGGATGGTAAAGCGCTTTATGGAATGAAGGAGGCACAGTTTGCTGTGACGTTGGACGAGGCACTGCCGTAGTTCCTTCAAGTTTGTGGCGTTGGGCTTGTTGATGCATAAGTTTCTCAGACCCCGAAAAGGGAGGTTGCGTCACCAAAGTTGCTTCTTGTCGGCCCAGATAGATTTCCTTATTAGAAAAAACAAAACAATTTGTGTTGGAGATTGGGTAGCCCCTAGCTTAGGTAACACATAGCTGAGGAACTTCGGAGGCTCCGCCTGCCAAGAGAGGTACGTCTACCCATCGCATGCAGAAGCGGCCCCGCCCGATTGGATCGAGACTTGTGAAATCCTCCGTATGTGTTTCATTCGCCGGTGTCTAGAATCGCCCAAGATTGAACGGCATAGGGGACGTTGTGGGCGCGACGCTGTCTGAGGCGTTGATTCGCCACTTGTCGGATCCACCGTCACAGCGACAGCGTACCAAAGGGCGGCACAACCGCCGCCACGCCCTTAAGCCTTGCCACTGCAGATGCTTCATTTGAGTCCCTCAACGGCTTGTCCAATCTGTTACGTACATCTAGAAAACGTCCTCTTTCTCTACTCTGGCCCGGTCCACTTTTGTCGGGAATGTCTTGGCTCCTGCGAAATAGGGGAATGATCTCCCTTTGCCAAGCTGGCTCTTCAGAAATGAAACCAACTCCACTGGCCGCCTATTATACCTCATAGTAGCTATAGCTGTTGGTATACTCACAGCCAGCCGTTGCGAATTTTATGCTCGGCACACCTAGTCCTCATTAGTCGCGAGGCCAATGGCAAGAGTAGACGAGCTCTGCCGCAGAGGAATCCTCCTGCCTAAACGAACGATGAAACGCGGACAGCCTCCCGTTCCATCTCGCTGCCGCAATGCGACCTGTAGTGACCTAATCACTCCAGCCTTGTGGCTAATGAGAACTCCACTCTATCCATCTCGACGATGCCAATCAAGTCTGTAGCAGATTGTACCATCGGATGATCACGTCGATCCCGCGGCCAGCCTCACCTCCCTGTGTACAGGAGACATGATTTATAAATGCTCGTCTGCTTCAACTTGACAAATACCTCACCACCTCACCACCTCACTCAAGTCCCTTCTACTTCTTCCTCTGGCTAGTCCATCCATTCGCTCATTTCTCGATTCGATTCTTTGCAATTCTCGCTCTCTTGTCGTACTTCCGCTAGTCGCAAATACTTCTACTACTTGCAAAGATGCATTCATTCAAGACTGTTCTTGCTCTTGGAGCTCTCCTGCCCGCATTCCTTGCGCAGGCCAGCAAGATTATCCGTACCCGCAACGAGCACACCATTCCCGGCTCGTGGGTTGCCCGTATTGAAGAGAATGAAGTCCTCGAGGCTGTCCTCTCCACTGTCCTGGAGGCTGCTGGTATCGAGTCCAAGGAAACCTACTCTGTTGGAGGTGTCAAGGGTTTCACTTTTGATGCCGACGATACTATCCTAGATATCCTCGAGAGCATGGGAGCCATCAAGTCTGTCGAGCCTGACTACAAGATGTATGCTTCCGTCCCGGTTGGCAGCTTGAAAGCGCGCCAAACCAACGGTACTCTTACTACCCAGAAAGGCTCCCCCTATGGCCTGGGACGCATCTCCCACCGTGAGCCTGGCACTAAGGATTACATTTTCGACAGCTCTGCTGGCGAGGACACTTTCATCTATGTCATCGACACTGGTGTCAACACCGAGCACACCGACTTTGGCGGCCGTGCCACTCTCGGAAAGAGCTTCATCGCCGGATCTGACGGCGAAGACGACCAAGGCCACGGCACCCACTGCTCTGGAACCGCCGCCGGCACCAAGTTCGGTGTAGCTAAGAAGGCCAACATCATCGGTGTCAAGGTCCTCGGCGCAGACGGCTCTGGTAGCAACTCTGGTGTCCTTAGGGGCATTCAATGGGCCGTTGACGACGCCACCGAGAAGGGCCACATCAACCGCACCGTCCTCTCCATGTCCCTCGGCGGCCCCTTCTCCCAAACCACCAACGACGCCATCCAATCCGCTGTTGAAGCTGGTGCTTTCGTCGCCGCTGCCGCCGGAAACGAAGGCGAAGACGCATCCAACTCCTCCCCCGCCTCCGCACCACAAGCCTGCACCGTCGGCGCCACAAACGAGCGCGACCTCATGGCCTCCTTCTCCAACTTCGGCAAGCTCGTCGACATCTTCGCCCCCGGAGAGAAGATCCAGAGCGCCTGGATCGGCAGCTCCACCGCTACCAACACCATCAGCGGAACTTCAATGGCTTGCCCCCACATTGCTGGTCTCGCTGCCTACCTTATTGCGCTCGAGGGCCCCCGCTCTCCTACTGCCCTGTGCAAGCGCATCCAGGAGCTTGCTACCAAGGACGCTATTACTAACATCAGAGATGGAGATGATAGCCCCAACCTCATTGCTTACAACGGCAACGGCGCGTAAATTTGTACGCTCTGCTGATTTTCAAGTGTGACCAGCTTACTGTGGATCGGTGTGCTCGGGAGAACTAAAGGAATAATGTATTTGTCGAGAAGTCTTTTTTTGTACATTTTCTTTTGCCATGGAATCTAATGGCTTTTTGTGGATATTTTTGGGGACTTGATGTGTGGATATGGTGAAGATATATATCTTTTGGTGCTGCTTTGTTATAAGAATACAATGGAATGCCATGTTGTAACAACCATCTTGTTTCAGCTCCCAATCCTATTTTCATGAATTGCTAAGTTCTCAGTCAATTGTGAAAATAGGGTGACTTACTTGTACTTCGCCACGTCAAAGCCGTCTTGGCTGTCTCTCTGGATAAAGCTCGATGATACGATCCATCTATCCAGAACTACTATGGCACATGCGGCCATAGGACAAATGGATTTAGTATACTGAGACGGTTGGCCGTTTCAGGGTGTATCTGTTTGGGGGATTTTTGTCTGTCAAGCTATACTAAACTTCCAGTTTTGGTAACCAAACTCGGAATATAGAAACATGTATGCCACGCCGCTGAGCAAGTCTGGCGGCAAGGTGGCCGCATACTAGGGACCTCTTTCTCCAATCTCTCCTGTTGCCCTCGCCCGTGGCATCCGTCTCATTTCTCCCTCCCCGTTGTCCTTTCTTTCCTCCTTCATTTGTGCATCTGTTGCACTTTTGATTTTACACTGTACTGTCTACAATTCTCGTCTTGCAATCAACTTTCGGTTCCTACAACATGGCTCGCGGAAGGAAAATGCCTATAGATGGATCTACGAACACGGCTGACTTGCGTGCGCTTGCAACATTGGATGGATTTTTTAGTGAGTTGAGGCTCTTGTCTGGTTGCGCAGGCCTTGAAAGATACTGGAGTATTGATTGGGATCAAGAATAATGGTATGATTAGGCATCGCCATCGAGTCTAGGGCATTCCGGTTGTTTCGGGTGGGGCGATACAAGAGGGCTGCCGAATGCGGCTACGCTGCAAGGGTGGATAGCGATATGGCGAGGCCGCCTTGGATGTGGGGTACTTTTCGCTACAACTCCACCTGTGCATCGAATTTTATTTGATATATAATCATAAAATTATTCTCTTCCTTCATCGATCAGACAAGATGGCCGAGCGGTTAAGGCGCATGACTCAAGCGAAAGCTTTCCCCCTCTGCGAGGAAGTGTTCATGTAGAGAAATCTGCGTGGGTTCGAGTCCCACTCTTGTCATCATCTTTTTTGCTATCTTTTTGCTCTTTTTGCGCCTGGAATGTTTGAGGGACTTTGTCGCGTCGACATTGGTGGAGGGAGATATTGAACGTGCGTTGGTTGCGTGTCTTTTTGCGCAACATGATTGGATACTTGCACGTGTATGGTAGCGATTGTCACGAGGAACATTGCTTGAGGCAAGCGTCAACAAATTGAAAATGATAGGGTTAGGCTTGGGATGGAGTGATATGTTCGCATTGATCCGCATATTCAAAACATAGCTAAAGAGCCCCTAGCCTTATGTGACCTACCATTGTACTATGTGATGAGGGAGGTTTAGAGTTCGTCACGTGGTGGCAACACTAACCCGAGAAGGAGATTCCTAACATTTCTGCATAGATTAGACAGACAGGAGTAAACATTCTTGGAGCCAATTGGAATGCATTCCAGGCCCTTCGACTCAATATCGGTATGCGACTAGAGCTGCAACAAAGAGTAGTTTGAGTAGCCCTTACCGATGATGGTATATACCTATCCAGGCCCCCACCTTCATTGACGTTGTAATTACCGCAGCCGACTTCGCTGCTAGCCGGCCCGGGATGGACCTTATCGACATCTCAGGAAGATTTTCGTGTTTCAACAGTTTTTGGATGATGGGCTGCCGTTACACATGCTGACGCTGCCAGGTAGTGGGCAATCGTGTTTTTGAACACCAACACAACTCGCTGATCACTTTATGATAATAAATGGCAGATACTATCATGGCACTTGGCCGATGGTTTCATGTTAACGTACGGACACGTTCGGGTAGTGTAGCCACAACTTGACTGTTAGTGTTTCTGAAAACCGCTTTCAAAATGCAGTTGACATCAAAAAATCCAGGCGCATCAAAAACTATTTCAGTCACCAAATTTCTAAATATGGGTAAATAAAATGACATTGGAGAACGTGCAGTTCAAACACTACTTAGTGGTGTCGGCTAAGTGTAACGCGAAACAGCAATTTCGTGGCTGAGAGGATAAATGACGATAAGATTGTAGGACATGGAGTCACAGCGCCGTTGCGCCGCTATAAAATCTTGATAGAAAACGCACGCAGAAACTCTCTCAAACAGATACATGACGTAAGTAAAATAAAAAGACAGCGATATGTACAAGCCCACCTGCCAAATTGGTTTCTCCGACTTTCCCGTAGCCTGAGCTTGCCATCTCACCGTACCACCAGTTTGCCACTGCAGAATCAAAGCCTCGGTGCATGCAGAAAACCTCTAGAGGAGATACATGATTCGAGAAAATGGTCCAAGTGGTAATGCAAGCCACATGCCAAGCGCATTTGTCCCAATTTCCCCGGAGTCCGAGCTCACCATCTAGCCGTATCAGCCACCGCAAAACCTGGGGTCGTA